CTGAGGGCTATTTGGGCGAGTTTATGAAGGCAATAGTGTCCAAAGAACTTAGTACACATAAAAAAGCCGGAACCCGTTGTTTTTCAGCGCGGATATGAATTCACTAGATCTAGCATTAACGTTTGCCGGGTTTCACGATTACATTCGATTTTTCTCACGATTAGCATGCTTACCCGTAAAACGTTATCACGGTAAGTGGTTTGAACTGGGAAAGATTGTGACATAAATCTAACTAACGAATGAAGAACCGAGGGGTATATTGGCGGCTACGAATAAGTCAACTTTTCCATTGAGTTTGCACTACTTTTGTCGTGCACTTTCGTCGTGTTAACCGGCCAGGCCGCGGGAAGTATTACAAGAAAGAAGACCGTAAATATTTGCGCAGCTTTCAGTCTTTAAAACCCGAAAAAATGAGTGAATTTCTCGGGTAGCATTTTCGTGTATATTGTAAGCTTTCCTCACTTAGTTTCGTCTCCAGGCTTCTTCCTTTCTTCCGTCCTTCCTTTTTAAAAACGGTGACGTCAAACGTCATTTGCTCTCTATTACAGCCCCCTCTCGGCCAACGTTTGCGCATGCACAATTTTAATGGATTTTGCTGTAAGAAAATTAAATCAGTGTAATGTGAACAAGAGTTGACTTATGATAGATTTGAGTTCATTAATATCAGTAAGTATTACGATATTAAAAAGATTATTCTAGTTGTCCATGGCGACGAATTCAAAACTGATTGGTGCTTTTGTGATACGCAAGCGCATTACCTCAAACTATCGTTTTCGTATAGTGGGTTCGAAACCCTGATTACCATCCGTATATTTATATTTATCAATATTTCACTTTGTCGTCAATGAAAAGCATCGCTTCTATCTGGTTTTTTGACACAGTGACATTTCAAAACATTTAATATTAAACATTTTCTTTTCAAGAAGTCTTTTCATGTTTTGACAGCTCGAATCCGGGATTTTGACATGTAAATTGCAGGCAGATACTAGTCAAATACGTTGGAATATGTTAAATAAATCCCCATTAGAAAAGATTCAGAGATTTTTTTATTCAATTGATCTTTTTTTTTTCGACTCGAAGAAGTTGTCGCTGGGATCAACACCGATTACCGCTTCGAAATGAAGATACCATCTTGACACTTCAAAAGCGAAGCTTTTGAGGTATTTTTCCATAAAGGTGAAAGCTTTTCAAGCAGCCGACAATTTCCATTTTCATCCAGCTGGTTTCAGCCGTGTCGACATATACTATCACTTGCCGTATAATTGACACGTGCGTCATACATGTAAAATCATCAACTAAGCAGCGAATTACATCCATTACAAGCCGTCAACATTTGTCTTTTCTGTCCTCGGTCCTCCACCGTTGTATGTTAACATCAGGATTAGTGTCCTGTGATCTCTCTATCGAATCCTGTGTTTTTTCCTTACGTTTGGCTCGACTTTCGACTGAAATCAGTTGCCATGTTGGGAAGATTGAAGTAAGTTTTATTCATTCTATCTTTTAGCCTTAATTTGCGTTTAATTTCCTTAACCTTTCGTTGCGTTGCACAGAAGAGAATATAAGAGGCTTGTTGTCGGACTGGTTTCGAGAGATCAGTGACAGTGACCACAATATTGGAAGCTGAAATGGAGGCCGTTCTCAGCTAGTTGTTTTTATTTGACACCTTTAAAGCGGTGGAATCGAGCACGACTTAAAGAAAATATTACAAAACAATCGAATGACGAACAATTTGCCAAAATCATCGGCAATAAATGCAAATCCCCAAAATGAAACCAAGTGATATGTCAGCCAGGTCTTGTTTTGAATATATTAGCAATTTTCAACACAAACCTTGAAAAGTAAATCAAGGAATCCACAGAATTATACAGAAACCTACATAATGTATTTCGTTCGAGGTTAAGAAAGGCGCTCAATTTATTACGCTACTCCCGCGATGTCAAAATTGCTTTTTTGCCTTATTGTGGCAAAACTAGATTACGAGGAAGTGTTTTGAATCCATCCATATTTGTTGAACAAATTTGTAATATGTTCCGCTTTCGGAGGAGCATGCTCTACCATGGAACCTAAGGTGCAGCGAATTTTAGCAGATAACCCGGACATTTTCAACTTATTTACAAGCGAAAATTTCCATTTAACATTACTTTTTCGTCTGTTAAGAGATCTCATAAATGCTAGACAAAAATAAGAATAAATACAAATAAAAAATTAAACAGATTATCCACGAGCTATATTTTTGCAATATTCATTACCTGTTTAAGAGGCGTCGTGGGCAGGCAGTGGCCCAAATTATGGAGCTGCTAAGATTTGAGAGCCATTGTGAAATTTTCTATTTCGGCTTTTTTCAGCGGCACAGACACTATTTCTTAAAAATCCCATACGCTGTGTTCTAAAACTAGATTACCATTTCACTCAGCTGCAGATTTTATTTCATCAATGGAAATTGCGAACGGTCCCTTATCGTCGAAAGCACAAGATATGAATAATTTAGTCAGTAAACATGACAATATTTCCTCCCCTTCCCTCCCCTCCCTTCTGATTGTCGATGTCGGTGTCAAGTTTCCTTGGAGTTGCTAGTCAGAACATTTTCGTCTGAGGTGAAACGGAAACTGGCGGTGTAGCTCTTTTTTGACCTTGACGATGTCCTCGGATAACAAAAGACCGCCTCTGGTCAAGACAGAGAAGTAAGATCTAAATATCATTGTAGTAGTTCGCACTTCGTTCGCGATGTGGTATCGCCTTTAGCTGGAATTGTATTCGCTTTGCAAATTTCATGCACTACTGTCATCGATGTAATCCAGCTTGTTCGGTGTCGCTTTTAAACATTGGTTGAAATTTTTAATGATCTTTTTCCACTGTGTTTTATTAACACGCGTTTAATTCTTTCATACGAGAACTCCTATCTTGAGATCATGTTCGCAAGTCGCCAAATCGCCGTGATGTTCTCTGATCGAATGTTCTTTTAAATTTTTTTTCTGAGTTGCGTTTTCGATTGTCGACGGTGGTCAAATATTCGCTCGATAGTTCTATTTGACCTCGACGCTTTCCAAAGTTTTATTGTGTAGCTCATCCGGCTGTATCTCTTGAATCAATACCATGAATTTTATCGCCAAAAGGTACGTTGTGGTATTTATTTATCCGGTGCAGGCGAATGGATTTGATCGTAGTTAGCTTTTCGCTACAAGTGTTAGCGCAAGAGTACACGATCGCCTGGAACTCATCACCGACAGCACCGTCGGCAAGTTGCGGTTTTATTTAATTTGCTTTTCTGATTTCAAGATGGCGAAACGATTGAATAATTGCGTGCTGAATTGGGAATTCAAATTTTTACTTTGAAATGCAAAAAAGTTACGCGGTTTTTATCCGTATTGTTCTGTTCATGACAAGCAAAATATGTGTGAATGTACATTGTATCATGTTGAGGTGATGTAGTTTCAATTCGTTTACATGGTTTTGAAGATTCAGTTGATATTCGCGGAATCAGAGCACTGCCTTAGGCGGACTGCCAAACCGGAAAAGCAAAATAAACTTCGCATTTATCTCGCTCAGAAGAAACTGAAATTGAAATAGTGCGTATTTTTACCGAAGGAACAGTATCTCCAATTTCAAAGCTGTCTATTCTCGTGTTATTATTGTTTGTTCATCAACAGGCGCAGTTTTGACGATGCACAGAGTCGCTTAAAATGCAGGAAGCTTCTTGGAATCGGAGGGAAGGAACCGAGTAAGGTCTGTATTCGCAAAACATTGTAAATTTGTCGTTCAATCCTATTCTTTAACCCAACATTCGCGTTAAGACCGAACATCGTGTTTTGCATAAGTCCAGTACTCATTACGATATTCATTTGTCAAGCTGTAAATTTTTGACAGAGAGTTTCCTTTTGTAATTACTTTGAGAACATCGTTATCAACGTGGAGAAAATTTCCTAAGCTTGTTCAATAAACAAATCCACGGGCAGCGTGCGTTTGCCTCGATTGAGAATCTTTGAAATAAATTGACGTTTTTGTTATTAATTTTTTTTTTTTGCTGTGAATGCCAAGGTTTGACAGTGGTCATAACTATCACAATTACTTCCCAAATGTTATTTCTGTAATATCATAGAATTTATCCAAGTTTTTATAAATGCGTTTATTTTTTTAATGTGTAAAATGTTCCTTCGCGCGCTGTCTTCGACCATATAAACGGCAGCTGTATAAAGGAAAATGTACAAAAACGCTTAGTCTTTCAGATTGTACTTTACTGAATTGTTTCTGATGCTATAGCTAAATAATAGGAACAGTGCCGTTTCTTTTTGGCGTCTTCGTAAGTTCCCGGGAGGTGTCTAAGGGCCTTTTATTATTATCCTGAAATGAATAGCGCTCTAGGCACTGCCTCCGTAACAAGGAAACCCTTAGCAAGAAACGCCGTCTGAATGTTTTATTACGGAATTAGTTTCTTGTTGTACTTTGGAGAGCATTTGACAAGTACATCGATTACTCGTTGCAAATCTCATAATGTACATTGGTAAATCAACGAGAAATTAATTTAAAATTCTCATAGCAAGTTCGGCAAAACTAACTTTTTTCGAGGGAAATAGAAAGTCCATATTTAATTTTAAAGGATATTTTTTAAAATCAAAATCGTGCGTTCATGAATTATTAAGATAGGTATGAGGTTGTTAAGAAATTTATCATGTAGTGTTCATGACAAGCTATGTTTGAATACACGGAGAATTTCCTTCGACATTTTGAATAACTTTTCTTGTTTTTATTCTTTTAAGCGAATTGTTAATTCTTTTCTTTAATAAATTTCCATCTTAAATTTTACATCTTGAAGATTTTACCGTTCCATTCGTTTACACACAGTTTTAAGATGTTTCGTCGGCAGTTTATTATGAAGAGGCGAAAATGTTCTGTGAAAATGGATTATGAAAATTCACTCTCATTGAATAATTTTTTAGGAAAACATTGATTAAAACGCTATTTTGTCGTCCATGCCTTTTATTGCTTGACGATAATACAATTTGTTTTGGTTTTACACCGGATTTCACGCGTTTTTCTTCTGTATTTTAGATGTCAGTGTGTTTAAACTGATGCCCGACTGAAAAAGCTTGAAATAAAATTCGCATTAGTGCATTCAATTTTAAAAATGGCGTTTGGTCCCTTGAAAGCGCTCAAGTGTGAATTTTCGAAAGCTTTCTAAAGCCTTTTACTGAAAAGTACATTTAGTTTATATGTTTTTCTCAAACAAACGGCACTTTTTCATGACAGTTTTTGTTTACATTTCATTCACTTGAGGCGAAAAATTTGTCTCGTTGCCCTGTGTTTACTCGGCAGCCGCTGAACCTACGTATTCGTTGTGCATTTCGAAACTGACAGAGCGAACATGTTTATGGTATGTCGCTTTTCGCTAGGAACGATGCGATATTTGAGCACTGAATACGCGTTTTTCAGCACCAAACATCCCAACGGAAGGAAAGGAAGTAAACAAGGACCTGTGCAATTTGTTCAACTCAGCACAAATGTAAAAGCAAATCACGAGAAAATTTCTTTTTACTTCTCCGTTGATTTCCTTGCCGACAGCTTTTTGTCCTGTGTGCCCCATTAAGTTTTCCTTCTTTCCTGTTTTACACAGCTAACAACGACTGCTATAACTCGACAACTTACAGATTTTTCAATTTAAAAACCCACTACTCTGAGTTTTTTCCTGTTAATGTCACTTTGTCTTCCTTGTTTGATATTTTTAGAGGAAATGTGTTCTCGGATTTTGTTTGTATTAAGAGAAAGTCTGATTTCATTGGCCTTTGTTACAATTTTTTTTTCTTTAAGAGGTTTTTCTAGTCGACCATTCTTTCTGAATTTTAGTCGGTGATGAATTATCGCTTTTCAGCCTTAGAAGCATTTCTTATAATCATTGTTTTTAATCGGACTCGGAAAGTCTTATTGTTTTTAAAGGTAGATGTGAAAGTCACTCAGTACATATCAAATCACGTTGAAGTAAAACTCGTTTTGTGTCACGGACACTTCCGGAACACGTGACACCGTACACGAGAGAGCTTATGACGCGTGTGACCCTGGCTTGTGATCCATTCAAATCGCATGTGCTTAGACCTCTTGCGAAACCTGAATTTACCCCTGGTTTAAGTTTACGTAGCAAACAGATATATCAACATACTTATGTTAAAAGTGATTGAAGGAATACTTTAGGATAAGCCCTTTATATGATGAGCTGAGTAATCATGTCTTAGTAATCAGACGGATAATAATCCGGGATTGTTTTGTTTTTTGCTTTACTTCGCTCTGTGATTGGTTTAGAGAACTCGCGTTATTCTCATGATCAATCAGATGAAGTATTAAACACATTACGACTTGGTCGCTTGCATTTTCCCGCGCTTTGGGCATTTTGGTCGGTTTTAATTTAAGGTCTAATTGGCTCCTAAATGTATTTTCCTTTCTTCTTTTTGGTCGATCTGATAACTTTGGTTTTAGCTTTATGACGCTTAATCAGAGAGCGCTTTATCTCTTCTTGAAACATTAGCAGCGAGCTCTAACTGCCGTCTGTTTGTCTTGTAGGTTCTTCAAGTCCTTGGCAGCCATGAGTCATACTTCATAAGTATACCGAGAGGATACGAGTAAGTCGTTTTTTGTCAGTTGCTGTTTTTTTTCCTTACTCCGTGTGTCTGTGATGCCCGAGGAACGCGCAACGACGTAACAGAGACCATTCGCTTCTTTCAGTTTAGTATGGGTTTTTTTTCTCTTTTATTCCAGAACATGGCAAGTGGTGGTACCAGTCTTCCTCTCTGTAGTATCAATTATGGTACGTGATCAGAAAGAGTTCGTTAGACTGCGCACAGCATATTCATGTTATATAACAAACGCCTTACCTACTACACGGTGAACGAATTTTACACAACGCGTAATTTTAGGGTATATTTTGAGGCGTCTCTGACAGCTAGACGGGCACTGTTATAAATGGCACATAACATCTCGAGGTGATTCAGTACAATTTAGAGGACAGTACGTGCATGTTACTTTACAAACGCCTAACTTATTACCCGACGACCGAGTTTTGGACAGCGCGTAATTTTAGCGCATAATTTGAGGCGTCGCTTAAATTTAGGCGGATAATGATTTTAGTGAAGATAATATTGCAGGTTGCTTGTATTCTGTAGTCGACAGTATGTGCATGTTGCATAACAAATGCCTAACCTACGAGGAACAAATTTTAGACATCGTACAATTTCAGTGCTTCCCTGAGGCGTCGCTGAAAGATAGGCGAGAACTGTTCCAGGTGGCACAGGAAATTTTTAAGGGCGCTAGTATATTGTAGTCGACGACATTTATTTTAGGTAGTAGGTATTGATATTGATTAATACATCTTTTTCTTCTTTTTTTCAGTTGATGATATTTCCAAGCTATTGTTTACGTGCTCTGGGCGATAGTAAAGAATCTACTAGTTTCGCCGGTGCTCTAAGTTGTCGACTGCTGGCAAGTGCTTTGATAGGTTGGTGAACCACTACCCTTAAATTATTTCGTTGATGATGGCTGAAGGTAAAGTCTGTACTCGAGCTAAGTGATCCATTCAACCGTAGCTTATCCTGGTTACCATTCTATGAGGCAGGCGGACTAGGAGTATCACTGCTCCCCCCTGGATGGGATGATAGTCCATCTCAAGGTTACCCCCCAGCATTTCATCAGACTTCCCTGACAGTTTGCCCGTACCCATTAAATCTCCTGCGAAAGAAAACTGTTTTTCCCAAGAACACAACACAATGACCCGGCCAGGGATAATGATAATGATGATGATAAAGAAGGAAAAAATGGAACTTTTGATAACGATGATAAGGGGGCTGGAAATGGTTTTAACTATAAAACGAAGCGCTACAACTCACAGGATAAATAATCAGGAATTAAGCTAAACTAGGACACAAAATCTTTTCCTTTTCTTGTTTTGGTGTTTGAGGAGGCAGTCAAACGAGTTTTGGCTAAATACATCTGTCCTCAGAGGTTTTCTTACAAATCCCTAAGAATAATTACCTATTTAATGAAATCATCGTCCTTTTGTTGTTTTAGGGATCGCTGGTATATCATGGGGAACAAAGCCTATAACTATATCTTCCATAAAGTAAGTTTCGATTTCATAGTAAGTATCTTATTGGAGAGCGCAGGTCAGGGTAATAAACCGTCAAGTGATAGTTTGTCCTTCTCGGAAAAATTGGACGCTGGAAGCGGGGGGAGGGGGAGGAAG